AGAGCAATTAGAAAGTGGCTAGTCTGTCTTATGTGTCTCTTGGGAAGAGGATTGGCCTACCAACTACGTAACAATGGAGTAACCAGGGGACATGCATCTCTGTTCAGAGAGAGTGAAAGGACTGAGAATGTCTGAAAGTCTGCATGGTTGTGCTCATGTCCCCAGTTATCCAGGAGACTTCATTTATTTGACTGCAAAACTAATGAAACTACTCAGTCTGAGCCTGTGTAGTTGCTACAGTGTGTGTAGGTCCTATTGCCTATTTGGCGATATTTTTAGACCTGGATAATGAGTGGGAAAAGAGTTAGTGAGAGATGGAGATCTTTAGCACAAAATGCCTGTAAGCACAAAAACATGTAACCCGAAGTCCTCTTAGAAATACATTTTTTTAACTGCTATTTATATAAATTACTTCTTTCTGTGGCATTTACAGTCATTTCCTTCCTTAGAAATGTTGTTTCACAGTTGTTTGGTTCCACAAAGCACAGACCCTCTCTGGCTTCTGCCTTAACTAACCAACCAGTATAAATTTCTCTTGAAATTCACAGCTGCCTTCACTGAATGTGAGTAAATGAGCCTGTCAGGTTGAGCTGACTAAACTTTTCTTGTCTTTGGGATGCAAATGCTTTAACGTGTATTTAGGTCATCCCTACTTGATTTTCATGGGACATGGGGGAGGGGGAGAAACTTCTTCATAAAGGAAAGAAAATGAAAAAAAAAAAATGTTTTAAATCACTGTTCAAAGTCACCGTCAAAGTCATCATGCTCCTTGCAAGAACCTGGAGATGATGGGCTTCTGTTTTCCTTATGTTTGTGTGAGAAACCGGATTCCTCTCCATTGTTTTAATCTTTTACTTGCATTTTAAACCATACTGGGGATATGATTGGTAGCTGTCATAGGAGACTCAGGTGCAATTTAGTGACTGGTTCAAATTCCATTGCCATACTGCTGGTAGTTAGATGTTTTTAATGCCTGACTGAAACTGTTCATCAAATTTCTCACCACTTTCCATATTCTTTACCTTTCTGTCCTGGATACCCAGCAATCTGGTTCTTTTAAAATAACATTCCCCTGACACAAAGCCTCAGAGCACCACTCAAAGTTGCCCAGCTCATATTTAATTCATGTTTGGATTTTCCCAACAGGAGATGCTGAAGTATATATTATGACCAGCAGACTGGAAAACCCCAGATATTCAAGAGCTGGATAAATAGCTCTTAATAACATGGAGCATAAAGTACTTGCTGTACCTCTTAGTCCTCTTCCAGCTTATAGGAGGAGGCAGAAACAGGATAAAAATCAGTGCTGTGCTCAGATAGTGCAGCATTTCAGACATGATCATCCTTAACACAAATCCCTCTTTACTACTGGTTTATATAATAATTTTTTCAAACTTTATAGCAGAATCACACAACCAGTTTGCTTTAATATGTATGAAAAATCAGACGTTAACGTGTAATATTCTAATAGTTCTATGGTAAAATTTTGCTGTAAATTTTGTAAATTTTTATTGTAAAAATGTAAGATTTTTCATCTTGAAATTCACTGTATGCAGAGGGCTGGTGCTGGCTTTGCAGAGGTGGTGAACAAAGCTTAATAACAAAAAACTTAATACCAAAACAGCAGTTTGTCTCTCAAATTTTCCAGTTACAAAAGACATATTTTAGGTGTTTCTGGAGAATAAGGTCTTCTGAGCTTTTTGCAGCTGGATTCTGAGATCCTGTTTTCAAGAACATTCAAAATGCAGGTGGGGGAGGAGACATGGGTGCAATTTTCATTAGCAGTTGGGTTTATTAAGCAGCTATTATTAGGTAACAGTTCTTCCCAAATGTAGATACCATTAAAAGTCTGGCTTATGGCATTAAAGGTAAAATTACAGAACCAACTGCCTTGAAAACTCATAACCTTTTTAAAATACATTGCTTAATTCCACTGAAGATCATGTATCAAACTGGATTGAGTCCATATAAAGGATTTCTTAACATTTGGTTGGGATGACTTGAATAATTTACTTGTAACTGCTGTTTGTGAGCAGCAAGACCATGGAGAACATGCTCCAAAAAAGCAAACAAGTGTAAAGGAAAGTGAAGATTACTGACGACAACTGGAACTAAATATTATAAAAAGTTCTTAATTTGAACAGTCCCGTAATGGAATGACAGTGAGAGGACTCTACTTAGTCTTGTCCCACATAATAATGGAGAAAAGAGTTATAAAGATTAAATATTTATGAAGACAGCCTGTATATTCCACTGCTTAACCAGTGCTTACAAGACCAAAGAAATCTTCTCCAGCTGAAGACTCTGACTGTGGTAAGAACAGGAGTTCTATGAGGAGTGACAAAAGAATTTTAGTTCTGTGCCACATTTGCCTCTACTGTTCCATGTGTTTAGTCTTGCCCAGTTTAATGCAACAAGGTCTTCCCCAATTTCAGGATTGTATTTTTTTAGCCCTTGGTCAAATCAGACACTGTGGTTTATAGTTTATGGTTATACTTCAAGTTCTGGTGTGACAGAGGTTTCAGTTGGACATCATTTGCTGTGATCACAAGTGTGCTTTCAAATAAAGTTAAACATTTTATAGATTAGGACCCAAAAGGAAGCAGAGCCTTGAAGAAAAATAACTGCTACATCAGCTCCTTTTCTGTGACTGCTGATAGACCAATGATTATTCTTTTACATCCCTTATACTAAATGCTACATTCAGGATACTCAAAAATATTAGAAGGAGAAGGCCAGGATGGAGTCCTTGATAAGTTGTGATGAGCTGGGGCTGTCACTAGAAGAGGGGGAGTTGTGGGTCACTTTTTAAGGCGGGGAGTAACTGTCTCCTGGGAGCATCCCAGGTTATCTGCAGGCAGAAGGAGCAAGAGACCACTGCCTGGGGGTCTTCTTTTCACTACTTGTTGCATTTGAACACATTAAATAGTCAAAATTTGTGTAAGAGTGTGTGTGTGTGTGTACATATACGTGTGTGTATTCAAAGGGAAGGGGAGGGGGGAGAGAGGGAGAAAGTAAACACATGGTTTATATATTTGGATTTGTGTAAAAGTAGAGAAATCAAAGGTGTTTGATTTTAGATTGGCAAATTAGACAAAAGAAAGAGAAAACATATACACACAACTGTTCCTCTAATGAGGAAAAGGAGAGAGAGGTTTCCAAGAGCCTAGTCCACTATAAGCTGTTGATTAACCAGACCAGCCATTATTTAGTTCCACTTTCTCTGAAGTGTTGAAGGTTTTTGGAATGCCCTAAAAATCAAAATGTTTGGCTTTCCTAAAGCAGATACAGTACTTTTTTCCTTATCTCTTTCCTTTTGTTAGAGTTTCCATTTGACATTTGTTTGGTTTTGTTTTGTGTCTTCAGTTTCAGTGTTTCAGAAAGCAAAGCAGTCTAGAGTTAAGTGGTGTACAGAGCCTGGTTGATCTTCTTCAAGCCTCTAAAGCTATCTTCAATGACTGTCTTATTAGTGGGATAAAGAAAGGTACAGTGCTCCATGGGACTATTTTTTTTTTTCTTTCTGTGCTGTGCTCTGAAATAATTTCTCAAAGATTTAAGTGGATGTTGAAAGAGCAGTTTAAAATTTTTTTTTGCTTTGATCTGAAATACCTGATAAAAATACATGGATTTTCTTAAGTTCTTCTTTCTGTGTCTTTATTATTTTTATTTCATTTACCAGCCTGAATGACTCTATTATATTAATGTCTTGTAGAGCATAGGTACTAAATGTTAGGCTACAGATGACGATAAAATCCTGAAGTGATTTGTCCAAAAGGAAAAAGTAAAAAAAGAAGAGTATAGAAGAAAAGAAATTACCTGAGATCAAGTGTTATTTATGCTTTTATAGTGTTTATATATGTATTTATGGACAAATGCCAGCTACAACCCAGTGTAACTTTGCCCTGTTGTTACCCACTTGCAAAAGCATCAGTCCCCTATTCATTATTACTTATTTAAATGGGCTTCTGAGATAAGAACAGTGACATTTTCAAATATTTGTTTCCCCTTTCTTATTAAAGGCTGATATCTGTCCTGTATGTTGCTATAGTCCCTATTTACTCAAAGACCACAATAATCTGTTCCCTCCATTCCAAGCTGCCCATCCATGCTAATGTTACATGAGACTTATCTAAAAGGTGGGCTTATCCCAGCATCCTTGTCTCTGTGCACAGATCTGTGAACACACCCTGTAAACCGGTTGTTGTGTGTGTGCACTGGGCTTGCCTGGGCCATACTGAGTCTGGGGCTGCACAGAAGGGGAGCTGGAAGCGACTGATTGTCCTGAGCCAGGAGAGGAGGCTGCAGGCCAGGATGTGCTCATGGCCTGAGGATCTTTGAAAGTTCAAAACTGTCATTCTTTCCTCTTTAAACATTATCCTTACATTCTTCTGCAATTTTACTCCTACTGGTGATATCCCAGCAGCATTAGCAATGAGCCAGGGCACCAGGGGCCTTGCCGTTTCTTTTTAATGTCTTCAAGCTATTTTGAGTCAGTGGTGTTGTGTTTGGCAACGTGGAGCCCATAAATGGTGCAGTGTTTTCCTTGCTCGGCTTTAATTGGCCTGTGACAGTGACAGTGACATTGCGGTTGCAGACGCATGCAGATTGGAAATTAATATGCTGAGATTGATAGTTATGACAGCATTTAAAAGTCAGACCATCCAAGCTCTATTAAATCACTTAATAAAAGCTGAGTGAAAGTATCTAAGAAGCATGAGAAAACCTTGGATTACCTCATTTAAATTTGATACTTAATGAAAATATAAATATTTAAAACCCATGAAGTTATTAGCTAAATTAACCAGAATTATTTTAAAGGTACAATTTACTCAGCCAGATCATCAGTCAAGGCAATCTCCATTTAAATTGATGGAGCTATGTCATCATACAGAGCTTGAGCTCTACATCATGATACTAATAAAGTCATATATCTTTTTTAAGCATAATTGCATTTAGAACATGAGGGGGTTTTTTTTGTGACAGCTACATACATGTTTTTCCTATGACATAAGAATTGTAAAACCATAATATATTACAAAAGGCCAGTTATGATAACTTACCATTCTGTAAAGTTTATCCTCCAGATCCTGATTAATTCTTTGTAAGGCAAGGTAATTGTTTTGTATCCTAAAACAAAGATGATATCATGTAATTGAATGCTTTTTTTTTCATGTTGTTTTTTACCTGTATTTTCACATCAGTACAAAACCTTGGCTTGTATTATTTGAAATCTATTTATTTATCACTCCTGTTGCCAGTCAGTGGTTGCCTTTGAAATGCAATTACCACCTGCTTCCTAAGCAAACTTCTGTCTCATGTTTGCTTACTATATTTAGCAGAAAATTCCATCAGGAAGTGAAAATTTGTTGGCCATTCTGTACTTGTGTGCAGCCTAGGAACTTGCACAAGGAAATTGTAGCTTTACATCAGGCTCAGGAATAATATGTTAGAGAGGAAGCTTGAGCTGTAGGCTTAGGCAGCAGAAAAAAAAAATTGTGGAACTCTTTTAATAAAAACAATTGTGGCAGAATCCTAATGACTAATAGCAATACATGGGCATTATACATTATGACTTAGAAGAGAATATCCCTTCTTTCAACCAACGTTCAAGGAATTACCTCTTCTCCAGACCTAAACACATCTTTCTTCAAGAAATGTATTTGAATAGCTTAGATGGGTATTTCTTTTTAGCAGCATGTAGTGATTGAACGGACTCACAAAATGAGGCTTCCCTGCTTATTCCAGGGCGATACACCAAAGAAAAGTTTCAGCCTGTGCATCTGCAGGCTACTTAGATGGTAATCTTGGTGTTGTAATGAATAGGCTGAACAGCCTGTGGGAAAAACACTGCTATTTTGGTAGTAGGTGCACCTTTCTCTTCACAGAAGATAAGGAGAGTAGCTCCTTGGTCTTGTTAGTACCCATCACCTCAGCAGGATGTATTACAAATGTAAAGCAAATGTTATAAACTCAGCTGTGAAAAGTTTGTCTGAATAAATCTGTATGCTTATACTGATCAATATAGCTCAACATATTTTCAGCAGTGAGCTGATTTTAGGTAATGTGCAAGTGTGTTCACTGTAAGAGTGAAGTCAGATATAATAGACACATATACAGAAGAAAGGCACTTCCTCTGAGAAACCTGGATCTGAGCATCGTTTCCTTGGTGATCAGGAAGGGACTGGGATTAAAGAAGACTCTTGGATTTATAATTTGGTTAGTTAGAGTGGCTGTTGAAACTGAAACGAAGATCTGTATTTGAATCCTGCCATGGTTCGAATCAAAGGGTCCAGCCCACCCATTCCTGGTACATGATGCTTCAGGTCTCTCCCAGCTTCAGTTGCCATGGAGATTTTCTTTCCAGTTAAGTGATCAGAATTCTCCATTCAGGGCAGCCCAGTGGCTTGCAGTGCCCATCTTGAGGAATGGAGAGCTCTGGCTGGGGCTCCCAGCAATACAATAACAGCTGCTTGCACGGACCTGAGAGGGGATGTCTGTGACAAGGACATCTGCTCTCTGGATATAAATAATGATATCCCCATGGGTGAAAATCCTCAGGGTACCAAGGGTCAGACCAGACTCCAGGCAGCCACTTCCAACATTCATTGCAAACCTGGGGGGAGTTTCAATGTTGCCTATGTTTTACAGAGCAGAGACTTCCTCCCTGTGAGGAGAATCTGTGGTAAAGGGTGTTTGCTAAGGTGTTGACATAAATGGGCTGAAAATCTGTGAGACTTGTATTGTGAGACTAGGTCATTGCTCACCAATTCTCATAGTGCCATTGTGTTCATGTCCAGGTGACTTAAAGGATTGACTCAAGTTTACAGTTCTCTACGCAATCCGTGCTCCTCACAGCATTTACCACTAAGGCTCTCTACAGACATTTATTTTTCAGCTCTAGGTGTACTTGGGATTTTCACAGCTATTTAGCTGTCAACACAACAGAGACAAATCTCAGGGTGCTCTGTAGCCAGCTTTTTGTGGCACAGGAGAAGGCAGAGATCATCTTGACAAAACAGTGGAAACAAGGAGGGTTTCAATGGATTTGCCTGCAGCTACTTAGCACAAATATTTTGTTTTGCTGGTAGGGCTGAGTGCTGTGGTGCAGGAAGCAAGGATTTAGAAAAATAAAATAGTGCCTGCTGGCTGAGACCGGAAGTGTACCAGTATCTTCTCTGTCATAGGCTACATTTTTTGTCTAGTAAACCAAAATGCAACAGGTTAAACTTGTGTTGCACCCAGACAGCTCGAGGCTCAAGTAGAGGTGGTGTAAAAACTGATTTAAACAGTTAGCACCTTCGAGAGATTACATGGGCTCGTAAGTATCTGCATAAATTCCTGAAAGAAAAGAAGGGAAAAAAGTTGGTTCAGAGTTTTTCCAGCTTAGGCATCTCTCTAACCCATTCTGCTCTGCAGTGGTGACCTATGTGGACAGGTCAAGGGAAACCCTGAAGGTTCCCTTTCTGCAACTTTGAGACCATGAATAAAAACAATAGTAATTGCTACTTGAATATCGGAGTTGTGATGGTGACAATGTGTCAGTGAGTTTACTTCTCAGCTTCTGTTATCACTTTTTCTTTTGATATGGATGACCAAAAGGTTGATTACCATTAATATAATTGTTTCTCAATGACAACTTCCATGTCTAGATGGTGGTAGAGGGTTTTTGGAAGAGATTATCATGATCTACTTGTCTGTTTGTAACAGAAAAGTTTGTTCTTTTGCCTTTGCCTATCAAATATGTTGTGTTTAGGAGAAAGTAGCTCACAAACATTATTTCTCTAACACAGTTATTTTGCACTGAAAAAATCGACTGCCTCCCAGTAAAGTCAAATCAAATCTAAGATAAAAATCCACAATAAGTAGGAATTAAAGCTTCAAAAAGTGTTTCTATTGAGAACAGTATGCAAAGGCAGTCAAAATAAGCACAAACATATACACACATACACAAGCACACACATATGCATATAAAAGCAAACCCAAATTGGAAATTCACTGAGCCAAAAGAAGCATCAGCAAATGTAGGTGGCAAGGAGAGAAATGGACCCAGAAATATAGGGAAGAAAGTGTTCAAAGAGGTACAGAGGCAGATCAGTCTTTGGGCTAAACTCTAAAATAAAGCAAAAGAGAAATAAAGAGTAGGGAAAATTATTAAAATTTGAAAATGAACAGATAAGCAAATGGTAACTTCACCCTGTTCGCAGAAAACAGACACCCAGGTAGCCTGAGCATTGTGAGGTGTGAAATATTTCAATGTTGTAAATCTGGCTTTGTAAATAAAGTGAAGAGTAGGTCAGCTTTACTACCCTGTGAAACTGCTATAAGGATAAACTCATGTGAGTCAATAACCTTATCATTTATTGATGGATTTTAATGTTGTTTGTATTAGATGATACCCATGTGACTCGAGGTGCATGTATCTGTACCCATTAAATGCATGTTTAGACTCTTGATCAAATTAAGGCCTAATGAAAAATATTCTGACCATGTTGAACATTAAGTGTCTGTGCTCTAAGCCAGCAAACACACTCCTCCCGAAGACTGCAGATCACCACTGAAGAGGAAGTCTGCGGAAACCTCTGTTTCTTTGCTTCTCCTGAGTCTCAAGCTCTCTTAAGGCCATGATATATATCTAAAGTAAAACTCAGGCTTGGGTTGACTTTCTTTACAGAAGCAAATTTCTCCCAGAGTGCAGTTACTTTTGTAGAGTGACTGTTAAAGTAGCAGCTTCTTGTTCAAGAAAACTTTTGTCTCTCCGTTGTCACGAGCTACACCAACTTCCATATGAAAACAGAGAGTTTTCCCCCCAGGATTTCTGTGACCCCTTCAGTCTGTGAAACGTCTTGCTTTTAGTGAAACAGTTATGTGTGGGGGTTAATCTCAGTTAATCTCAGCTCAATATATGCTTGTATGGGTTTAACTCTCATGCCTTAAAGTAACCCCGTTTTCTGGTAAAAAATAGGGTAGGGACCTCAACAAGTTGTTACCCAGAGCAGGGTCTCAAGAAGGAAACACAATGTGACCTTTGGAGTCAAGATTTAGTTCCAAGATTGGTTTCTGATTTTTTAAAAAATTTTAATTCATAAAAGCCATGATGATCCTGACAGATAAGGGACCACTGTGAGGTATATGAAAACTCCAATCTCTTTTCAGTTACTTTTCAAACCTGAACTTATGCTTTACAATTAATATTTTCAAATCTACTCGGCACTGTCCTGCTTTTGCTCACCCAGGGAAAAAAAGAAAGAGGCCACTTCTAAATGTTTGTAGTGAGGTTGAAAACTTGACCATTGAACCACATGAGTCACGTTCTCACTCGGGTATGAGAGAGGAAGTCTGGCAGCAACACAGGTAATTCTGGATAAATTAAGACAAAGACTTCCAGAAAGGGTTAGAAAAGGATGGCCACTGAGCCTCTTTGAAAAATTTTGCACTTTACAGTAATGGGAATTTAATAACACAAATGTTCTCTAGTATGCAAGTGGGATCTTGTTACACAGGGCTTATTTATTTAGAGGGGGTTGAATTTCTCTCCCTGTGCGGTGAATAAAGGAAGAGACATATTATTGAAACTAATTCTAGTTCTTTGTTTTTCTCATATTGGTTTTCCTCTGTGACATGTTGCTGACATGCTTTTGGATGACAGTGTTTTTTTCAGACATTATCCTTCTCTGGGTTGAGAAATCTAGTTGTTCAACTTGCAGTATGCCTTGCTATTCTCAATAGAAACATTTTTAAAGCTCACCTCGTAACATATTTTTGGCTTCCATTATGATATGTCTTCAGGGGAGTAATCACCTGCCTGAAACATAATTTTTAATATAAGTTTTCTTCATAATATGGTACAATGTTCCATTAGAATATTGGAAAGTCAGCTCTGCTAATGTGATGGTTGGCTATGACTCCTAGACTTTGATGTGAGCACTTGGTCTGAGTTTGAAAAGGTGCTTAACTCATCAGGGCCCAGTGAAGTTGATAAGAGATTCCTACTGACTAGGAAGCCCTTTGTTTTAACACAAGTGGGATGGTCAGCCCCTCTGCTGCTTTATGACAGATGTCTGAATTAATGCTTCAAAACCAAGACTACCAGTGTTCCCTGTCCTGAAATGTATCAGAGCAAAATTAGATCAAGAATGAAGTTCCTTCAAACACCTCTGCTCTAAGTGAAATGATAGGAAAAGTATTGTTAACAAGAAAACTGTTATGGAGAATCTCCAGACTGCTCTTGATAAACATGTGTAGATTTCAAAATCACTGTGTCACCTCCATATTTTAGTCTCTTTTTAAGAAGCATCCTCAGTTAGGGAAGAATTTAAGTTGTAAGACCACACATTATGTTTCCTAAATTAGGATCTTACAGATTCATTCTGTTTAAAATTTGCATTAAATGGTTTGGTTGACTCAGGTTATTGGGGTTTTCTGGCTTTGTTTTGTTTTGGCTTTTGCCTTCTGCAAGAAATGAAAAATATTTCTTTGGGTATAGCCCTGGAATGATTTGATCTGAAATTAATTTTGACTTATCCAATGAACTAAATCAAACAGTTCCATTATAACATCAGTATAGGAAAGTCTCACAAGATACGCAAAAACATTCCTGAAAAAATGGGTAATTCTAGTATCAGAAGTTTTGCAAACAAATGAAAAATAGACAATTAAAATCACTAAAAAATTTAAAGCTAGACTACAGATAATTTTAATCACTGTCAGGAATGTCAGGAGTGCACGCTTAACATAATTTATCGTTACTATTAACTGGGTGCCCAATTTGCAACATCACTGTACCACAGTTACAACAGTTTTAAATAATAGCTTTTTAGTATCATTTAATTCTACTTAAAACTAAAAAGGAAATTATTTGCTGTAGCATAATGTGAAATATTTTAATATTATTTGAATTGAACATAGTCTCAACTTTGAATGATGAAGAGCCAAATTCTGTTCTGTGCAATGAAGAGTAACAACAGAAAATGTGCAAAGTCATTAAAAAGAGGTTTATCTGTATATATGCAGTATAAATACATATATATGTAGTGTGTTTATAACATTTGTACTTGCAATACAATGTGGCACTAATCTACACATAGGTTTACACATAAACAATGTTGTATATGTACCTATATAGGTGTATTTTTATTTGCATATTTGCTTTTAGTACAGACGCATCTTAAATATCATATGTAAATAACTTCATGCAGCAAGTAAAATATATTCAGATAAGTGAAATATATATGTACAATTTGAAAACATGATATGTACTCAATTAATTATAAATTATGCATGTCTGCATCTATGCTTATTTTTACTTACAAATGTCTTTAACACAGTCTCTTGTAAATTCCTAATAACTCTGTTTATTTAAAAAAGTTAGTTACCAACCTTCTCAGCTTTTCAGTTACTTTTTCAAGTTCCTCCTGAGCACGTCTCAATTCTATTTCAAGGTACTGACGTGTAGAATCAAATTCCGTTTCAAGCATTTCCAGCTTATGGGTAGTGTACGATAGACGCTTTCGTAATTCCCCCTTCTGTTCTTGCAAGGTACTAGAAAAACAAAGACCACAGCTGTAGAATTTAGCTGCTCCCAAAAAGGCTTTTCATGATCCACCCTTTGACCAATTCCCTAGAGTATAGGTTGGCATCAAGCCATAGAAGTGTGCTTAATAATTTGTTTACTGCACTTTGAAAATCTTCTGGTGCAGACAGTTGACTATCTTCCCATCTGTCCTATCTAGTGCATTTTTGGCTACTATCTCATTATCCATAATGGAATACTTTGTGAAAGAATCTTCATTAAAATACAAAACATGGCCTAGAGTTTGGTTTCACACATTAAAATACAAAACATGGCCTAGAGTTTGGTTTCACACAGGAACCTTTCATTCAGAGTTATCTTACTGTACTATGACTGAAATAGCAGATATCTATAGAGCAGCAACTCTAAACAAACCATGCAAAAATATAGCCTTGTCTAAAATCCAAATTATAAGCTTGTGGAGGAGGAAAATTTTGCCCTATTTGATTCCATTTCCACCCCAACGCCTGGCCATAATTATGACTATTTCCCTTTTTTCCTACTTATTTGGGAGCCAAGACTTCCCACGCTCAGGTGTAATCCCCAATTTTTCACTGTTCTTTCACTAAAGAGTTCATGCCATGATTTTAAGGTAGTTTTAGTTATATTCTTTGACAAACCAAAGCACTAGGCACAGAATTTGGGGAAAGGAGATTTTTTGCTTTATTGTTTTCTCTATTTTAGAGATGACATAAGACAGCATAAAGCCAGGAAAGCTATGCAAAATTTTTGTCATGAAGGCCCATGTGCCATCTGTATCCAAATAGTCCCCCTGGATTTGCAACAGTAAACCTGAGGATCTTTCCCTTGCTTTACTGGAGCTTAACTGTTCCAGTTCAGGGGAGCCAGTTCTACATGTGCCTCAATTCTTATCTGCATAGTGGAGATTTTTTTATCTTTGTCTATTTAGTTTGTAAGCTCCTCAGTCTTCTAGCATGTTTGCCAGTTGAACAGCAGGATGGGATTCCTGTCAGAGCTGAGATCTCTGGAGGTGACTGTAACTTGGTCCAGGAACTGCAGCCTCAGTATTGAGCTGATCTCTTGGCCTCAGGTGGAACCTCTGAGGCACTATGGAACTGGAGTCTGCCATCACCTAGAGACAAAGTGCTACCACGTGATGCATTATGAATTGTCTTGCTTTTTTTAATCATATGGTAAAAATAATTCTTCATAAAAGAATGGTGAATGTTGATTCCCTTTGATGTCGAGTACTGCCATCAGCTTCAGTAGAATAATGTTTTGGGTCTTTAATTAGACAAGAGATTTGGGAACAACATGTCAATCTTCAAGAAACACTTATCTGAGCTGTCTACAGCGTGACTGGTTTCTTCTCTACAAGCTGCGATAGGAGCTCAGTGAGTTAATGCAAAAGCTTTACAATTGTTGCTTGCTTGATCCATGCAGCTCAGAGCTGGGAAACAGCCTAATGTTTTGCCAACACAGTGCTCTATTTCAATTGCACATATTGTGTGGTTACAGTTATACTTAGATTACCACTTGTAGTTATGTTCCCTTAAAATAATATATTCTAATTCAGACATTTAATGCAGCTCCAGTTAATGCAATAATTAGATTTTTATATTTCTCTTGGTGAATAAACTCCAATATTATCTAGGGAAATGAGAACCCATGCTGCTCATTTATACATGTCCTCATTCATGATGTTACCACATCATACCACTTTTCACTTGCTCTGCTTCTGGTCTGTTGCTCCTTTTACTCATCTGCTCATCTTGGTCAGTTTCCTTCCTGTAGCCTGGCAACTTGGATTTTCTTCTGTGAAGTGGGAGTTAACAGTGCCAAAACTGTTTAGAGTGAAAAGAGGTATGATCTCAAGTCTTCTGCTGATCTAAAAATCTAATCATTAGGATTTGTACAAAAAGTAGACTGTTGGTTCTCCAGCTACGATTTTGGATAAAAATGCCCAGGCTGAGGCTGCTGCTCTATGCTGGGCAAACGCAGTTAATGCAAGTTAAGCCAGATCAGGGAAGGTTAGAGCATCCTGCAGCACTGGGAAGTTTTGGGCACAGGGAGTTTGACCTTTGGAGGGAAGAGGGATTATTGTAATATAAATACAATGGGAATGCCAGGGATGTTTAAATTTGGGGTTAAATGTGTGATTTCTGTGCAAATCTTCATCCTTTGGCAGTGCTGGTCTGAGATGCCAAAATATGCTTTGGGATTGAGGTCTGGACAGTTTGGTAGGTTTTGGCAGCTTGAAGCTTGTGCTAGAAGGATACACTTAACTTCAAGCTCAGTCTTGTCTCTCTTGAAGTTCACTTTGAAGTGTTTGTATTCTTGAATTCTTTACTTTCAGAATAATACTTTCCATTAAAATCAAGCCTATTCTAATGAGCTTTACTGAAACAGTCTACATACATGGGCTCTTCCACATAATTTTTTGGGAAGTAAAGCATGGCTGTAACTTTGTTCAAAATAAGAAAAAACCCCCACTGACTAAGGCATACTCAGGCAGCTTCAAAGATCAGAGTTATTCTCATCCAGCCAACCATATTTCTGAAAAAGGTCTACTCATTTCCACCCAATCTGGAACAAGAGGGTTGCATCCTTAAACCCTCACAAACCTAGGAGAACCCTTGCTCAGTGCGTACTTTGAGTCATCTGATCCATGTTAAAATGGCTGATTGATTTTAAGAGGATATATAATTTATAGATAGGAAGAATAACACCTACTTTATGATGAGATTATTTAAGATGCAATAGGAGATACCTAACAGTAAGTAATTATTAAAATATGAGTTATTAGACTGAAAGCTAAAAATTTTAGAAGGAAAGAAATCATGTTCTGACAAGAATATGCTGAATGGTAAAAAACTTATAGTCACTTCTATGGAAGAAAAAAAAAAAAAAAAAAAGAGAAAGAAAAGACCCCAACTGGGAAAGTGTTAAATCATCTGAATTAATATCCTTCTTGAGTCAAGTGAGTTCTGAAAAGATAGCTAACTTTAAGCAATAACACAATGAAATTTATGCTCATGAATGGCACAATAGGGAAATTTTCCCAAATTTTAGACTGTAACCATTGAATGGGTACTAATAGCTGTAACACTGAGAGTAGATTTCCCAGGATTCCCAGGATGGTTTTGATTTCTGCATGAATTGAACCTTATCTAGACACATTACTGGTTTGAGGGAAACCCTGTTGTTTTCCCTTGATTTTGGTTCTATATGAACAAGCACCTAAGAAGCAAAGGCAAAGCAAATGAGAGAAACAGTAGAAAGAAGAAGAGCTTGCAGTGAATCAAATTCTGTATCTCTAATAGCAGGATCAGAGCTTCAATTTTTGTTTTGTACAAATCTAAGATATTTCACAAGATATTTGATTATTTGTTTTCGTGGAGAGTTTCTTGCATTTCTCATGAAACAGATGTTCTTCCTCTGAAAATCTTCTCCTTACCATTAGCTTCCAGTTCTATCACATAATGACATGCTTGGATTATCATTCCTTAGTCTGTCTTGCTTTTTTTTTTTTTTGTTGTTGTTGTTCTAGAAGTCTGAGGTTTTCATGAGGAGGGCTTAATTTTGCTTTGTACCCCTGTAAATTTGGTAGTGGTAATTTATTCAGAATTGAAAAGGGGGGGAGGGGAAGCAAAAATATGGAGTAACAAAGTCAACCATTTAACATTTCCCCTTTTCTCCAAAACAACCAATTCCATAAATTACCCGCATTTTGTTTCTGCTTGTCACATACAGTTAATTACAAAAGTTAATTGAGCAATTTTTTAATGCTGGTAAATCACTATATTTTAATTCATAACTTATCTTCTATGCACAGTTGGTCCTCATGGCAGAACTAAAAAAATAGTTGAATGAAAGTACAGCCAGGTGAAAGGAGAGGACTTAATAGCAAATAAAAAATACTATCTAGAAATCTCATAGTGCTATGTCTTAGAAAACACAAATCCTACATTTCATTATCTTTATGAAACTTGGACAGCTGGAAAGAGTATGGAATTACAGGACAGGTTCAAAAATGCCATAGAGTATTCCATCTTTAGCATGAGTGGTTCTCTGTTTCTTTCAATGTTCTCTAAAGTCCTGCTCCTGTGACAATCAGTGGTTTGCAAGTCATTACCCACTTTGCTTCATTAAAATATTTCTTTAAAAACCAGTACAGTAAATATAATATTAAATATTTATACTGGTGAAAGAAAGCCTCTCAAGGGAACCGACTTTAAAGGTTATTAAAAACAGGTCTTTAAACTTTCCAAAGCATTGTTTTCACCAATTAGCTCTATTTATTCTCATATATAAAATAGACATGAAAACATATATTTGGAGAAATTTGTGCCCACAAATATTATCTCAGCCTGCAGCCATTGGTCAGGATTAATCTGTAGTGCTGGCTGGAGAAGCTCCAGGTGAACATATTTCCACTGGGTTTCAGGCAAAGCTGAGATGCCACGTGCTGACAGCCTATTCTGAGGAAGGTGTGCTGGAAAACAAGCAAGTTTTCATTGTACCTGTCTAATCTTCTGCCAGCTCATCTGCCTGACAGATGGTCTGATGATAAAGGAGTGCTGGCATACAAAGTTGGGGCTGTTCAGTTGCCTGGAGGCCATAGGATTTCTGTTACCCTGAGATATTTGTTACGCAAAGAGGGTGCTCTCTGGACTGTTACTCCATAAGAATTACTGCCTATGGGTCTGCCCCATCAGTGGAGCATTCCAGAAACCCCACATCTCCACCCCACTGGTCAAACTGCTTCAGCAGCCCCTTCACATCTGCCTCCCACGCCAGGGCTCTGTTTTGCGGGTGGTTCTGCAGTGTTGCTTAAAACCTGAGCAAACCAATTTTTTTGAACTAGCAGAATTCTCCCTGAATGGATTGATTACCTACCTTCACCCAGCTCTTGAAGTGAGTGAAAAAAATATGATTAAAGGTGTTAGGAGAGAAATTAGCAGTGAAAGGAATGCAAAATAAGGGCAAGATAGATGACCATGTCAAA